GACCTGGCTCTGCCATCTGGCCTGGGGCGAGGAGGGGGTCACCAAGTGTGGGGTTGGCTTGTCCCTTAGTGGCCTGGCGTCGCTGCCTTGAACCATCGGCCTCCTGGATTTTTTTCCCTTTTATTTTTGTGAATGTGAATTGTTGTAGGTTTTAATTTTATATTTATTTATTGTTTTAACGTGTTGTGAGCCGCCCAGAGTCCCTTATTGGGGGGAGATGGGTGGGGGACAAATTTAATAAATAAATAAAATAAATTTGATGTTGCAAAGCAGAGTCCTCAAGGCATGACTAAATATCTCTGTGCTGTAGCTGAGTAAGAGATATATGATCAGTGCTGCTATGATATCATAATGGGACAGAGAAATTTAAATGATAAACCTATGCAGGAATGCCCCTTTTAGATTTTTGTCAAGCTAGGGAGAGTCATGTTCTAGTCCTCTTCAGCCTTGGGAGCTCATTGGGTGACTTTGCGCCAGTCGTTTTCTTTTGGCCCAGCCTACCTCACTAGGTTGTTGTTGTACTGTGCTTAATTGTAAGTGCATGCTGTATTTTAAATACGACTACTAAGCATCTAGATGCTGATGGGAAAAATATTATTTTGGTGTATTTTTAGTGTAAATTTTTTTTTGTAATGCCTCAGAAGGAAAGCATCAATAAAAATCATTACACTATTTGACTCATCCCATTTGTTCAAGTGCTGGGACATTCCAGAGTACAGCATTTACTCAGAGTTGGTTTCTTTTGAATGTTCTCATACCTTATAAAAAAAACAGATGAAGACTCCCTTGAGTTAGGGTAGCCTCATGGCAACTGCAGGGACACATGTATTAAGGGCTTTCTCTCAGGATTTTTTTTTTTTAATTTCCCAGTCTCACCTCTAGTCCTGAGTTTCCTAGTGGTTTCCCATCCAAATACTAGCCAGGTCAATCCTGTTTAGTTTTTTTCAAGATCACCCAAGGTCATTTAGTGCTGTAACCTGCTTAGCCAAAGTTTATTAGCATTTGATAATATCTAAATGTAGTTACAAATATACTACTACATTTGCAGAGGCATTTTGGTACCAAACAAGGAAAAGGAAAATCATGTTGGAAAATCAACTTTTTCTGTTGTTAATGTTCAGTGATACAATTTGGGCAAGTTCTGGGGTGGAGCCAGTGATTATCTATACTAATGCAACACAGGCGAAAATCTGTTTCCTTTATTGCTCAGTTTTATATTTGATAGGAACTTGGTGTGCTACTGAAAAGAAAATAAGTAATATTATTAACTGGCACCTAGAGGTTTTTTTTCATTCAGTGTGTGTCATACCTGGCTCCTTCAAATGTGTAACTGAAAACTGCTGGATAAATATATTAATAAAAAATAAAAATGGAGATTGCTCTTGACAACATAATTTCTGAAGGATATCAGAAAAATATTTACTGGGCATTCTTCTGAACCCAGATGTATGTTATGCATTAATTTTATTACTGTGGTTATTTGGCTGCCTATCAAGTAGCCTATTATTTCATGTGAACTGGCAAATTATGTTTGTAAATCATCATTTCCAGTTTTGATTGGCAGGATAAGCCAACATAAAGTTATAGTTCTGTGAGTCAGCTAAAATGGCAAACTAATTCTTGCCTCAAACCAGAAATGAAGAAAGGGAGAAACAATGCATGTCATAGAGGAGGAAGGGAAACTCCATACTTCTGGCTTATGGAAGGCTCATAAAAGTTATGGGGCCAAGAATGGCCAGAGGAATGCTGCTGCCATTTTAAAGTTTTTCTGAAGGCAAATATCTGCAGGCAAATATCTAACAGTGAAACTTCGATTTTACAGACCAGTTGGAGAGGGGGATGTCTATTCCTCCCAATTGTCTATTAAATCACAAATTATAACATTTGAGGCAATTTATGTCATTTTCTTAATTATATCACTTGCATAACATGCAAATCACTGCAAATGACATATACTCATCATTTGCATAATGATGTCACTACACAAATTACATAAATTAATGCAACTAATTTAACTTTATTGTACATGTAACTTCTTCCTTTGGACTACTTCGTTATTTGCAGGGGAAGTCTGAACAAAAAATTCAGATCTGTTAAACAGGCTCACTGCTAAATGGGAGTCACATTGAGGTTTTATTGTATTTGGAGTTCTTAACCTGTTTGATCAATTAATTGATTCAATTTGTTATAGAGATCGGCTAGGACCTTTCTCTGGTTTTGTCCCTCTGGAGCACACTCAGTCTAAGATTTTTAGTGCTGTTTTTCAGGTGCTGTGTCTCAAATGCTGGACTATATTTAGAGATGGGGATAGTGAAGGAAAAGGCAAGGGAATGGCAGTCCATACATATGTTTTGGTTATGACTACTATTTTTCTTTCCAACAGGATTAGCCTCGCAAATGTTAGTGGATATCAAACTTTATGGAAACAAGTAATGGTTTGCTTAATCACAGCATATTAAACCACTGACTTCTCACATGCTTAGCCAAATCAAACAAGACATATTGGGTCTGCACAAGACTCTGTACCACATATTAGCTAAAAGCATTTTAGTCTATTATAGTGTGTAAATCCAGCCTGTGTAGTTAATTTATAGTTCAGCTTGTTATGTGAACCAAGATCAATGGCTAATTCAGTAAATCATGGGTGAACATGTCCAATGAGTGAGCCTTCTATTCCACAGGTTAAATGTGGCAGGACTCTTCAGATTTCATTCTGTTTGTTGGTATATGTGATTTAACAAATTAGTGAAGACATTAAGTATATCTCTGGGCACTCTTAATTATAAAACTATTTCCTGACAAAGCTTTTATAGTACAATGACTGTACAATAGTTTTTTTCCTATAATCTGTCTGCTAAACTTTGACTATTCTTATTAAGACGTTCCATCAGAGTTCTTAAATTACTGATTTACATATTTATATACAAGTTAACAGCCAGGATACCTGATACAAATGTCATCACCAAAATCCTACCTTCTAACTTGCATACGAACTTGTACATCAGTGATTCACCAGCACTGCTAAATGTCCCTGTAGAAGAGGAGCGGGTTTAGAGGGCGGGGGGGGGGAGAGCAAGAAGTATGTGTGGTCCAGAGGTTATACCTCTAAACCTGACAATTCCCCCGCCACAGACACACATTGGATAAGGCTCATTTATTTATTGCATTGGGAGCTGGGAAGTTACAAAGAGTAAAATGAGTGTATTAAACCTTGCAGACGCTTACGGCACCCGTTCCACCATTTAAATCCCTGAACCCTTTTCCAAAACCTCTGCGCGCGTTCCAACGCTATCTGTGCATGCATTCCAGCCCGAGTTGGAAAGCTTTTTAACCCCGTGGCGTTCGTCGTTCTCCACGTTTGCTCATGGGACTCCTCAAGGCGCACAAGGGCTCGATCGGGGAACTGAGTCGTCCTCGCGCCGGAATAGGCCCGGACAAGCGCGCCGGGAAAGCAACGCTGCCCGGAGGCGTTGGGACTCAAGGGCAGCCACGACATCGGTGGGAAGCTTCCGCTTTCGGGGCTGCGCGAGGAGCTGTCAGTCAGGGAACAGCTCCATCCCAGGGTGATGTCAGCGGATCAGCTGCTCTATAACAAAGCGGGGAGAAGCAGAGCGTGCGAGTGGCCCAGGTCCTTGGGCACGGCGGGCTCTAGGGGGAGACTGCGTGAACCGGGCGGCTCTCCTCGGGCTGGGCGAGGCGGGAGCGTGGCTGGCTCCCCGGCACACCTAGCCAAGCCAAGGCGCTGCAGCCAAGCAAGCGGGCTGCTTTGCGATCGGCGGGCTGAGCCATGGATAGTGACGAGGAGACGCTGGAAGAGACCATCGAGGGTAATTGCGTTGCTTGGGCCTGAGCCAGGGAGGGAGGAGTTATGCGAGTCGCTCGTGGGCGCCGTGCTGGGGAGAGTTCAGAGCCGAGGCGGGGAGAGCCTGAAGTGCTTTTCTGCACCCAGGTTCTGCGCATCTCCACGTTGCGGTTATGGAAGAACAGCTCCTCCTCCGCTGGGAATTGCCGGAGCAAACGTGGGGCCTTTCTTTCCGCCTTGTAGCTTTCCGGGAGGGAGTGGGGTCCCCCTTATCGGGGTGCGCTTAAAAGGGCAAAAAGGCGAACCGGAAGTTTCCCTTCTTCTGTGAAGTCGGTGTTTGGAAGTTGTTTGGGGCGTGTGGCCCAGCCTGGACTGCACGTTGGGGGAAAGTCGCTTGGGGTGAAGAAGCCTGAAATAACCTTGTCCCCTTAAATAAACCCGGGAGGGATCACGGCTTCCGTCCGCAGGGACGATGACGCTCCAAAGCTACAGCGAGCCTTTGGTCCTCCTTGTTCTCTTCCCGGGCAGAAGCGTGGCGTGGATACGGGTGTAGAAGGGTTCCTGTGCGCTTGAAGCGTGCTACGTGGTTAGCCTGAAATCTGCTCGCTGAAAGTTCCACCACAGTCTGGTACTTCCCGCTCCAGATTAATAAATTCTGAAATTGAGAGGCCGTAGGGATCTTCAGTCCTCCGAGCTGAAGCCAAACAGCCATACCGTTTGCTCCTTGTGCCTTAGCTTCTCTCTGCACTGCCCTTACGAGGTTCAGAATAATCGTATTGTCAAAAACGTTCTCAGGGACCATGAAGACTGTGAGTTAATATAATTTGAGACTTTCGTCATTTCATTATTGCTTGAATAATCTGGAGAATTCAGAGATCTGAAAAGTGTAGCTAAAATTGCAGATCTTGACATAACTTGAGTGCTGGGCTGCTTTAATTTCCTGTTTTGTGGTTGTTTAAAGATACTGAAGTCCGTGCCCCGCAAACTTTCTCCAGAACTTTTAATGTGAATGTATATTTCTGATGAAAAATATCAAAATGTGTAGTACTTGGAGATGTTAAAGTGAAGACTTAGTTTTAAAAATATTCCCAAACAGAGGCATAGGTTTTTCACCCCAATCTGAAATATTCATTTGTTACTAGTACTGCTGGAAGTTTCTAGCAAGATTTATAGAATTGGCACATGTCGAATTTGTTCATTCTGGTCTGCAAAATAATAGCTACATTGCAGTCCTGGCACCATATAATTTGGAAACAATAACTGTATTGTCAGTTGAAGGTTCTGCTTTTTCAGTTAATATGAATTATGCTTAATTGCTGATTCAAAGTTTATGACGACTTAAAACTGAATTGTATTTCAAGTAATAGTTCATTAAATATGGAATTCTATTCCCAGTTAAATTAAGGAAGTGTGAGCATAGTTGTGGCCAGGAGCATTTATTTGTTAGTTTTACATCCACACCAGTACTACACAATATTTTTGTTCCTTCAGAATAAAGAAAAGTCAAAACTAACTGAGTAATTCTAAAGTGGGGAGAAGGCTACACTTTAAAATCAGTTGGGCTCATCTGTGTGTAATCTATAAAAGAATGGCACATAAATAGAGAAATAGAGACAAGCTAGAGGAAATGTTTTACTAATACTGTGCAACTGAAAACTTAATCTGAGCTCTGGTTTTCACTATGAATCATTAGGATACATCACTGCTTATCTAATTATTTATGCATTCATTCTGGCTTATATTAGATAAGTCATTATAGTATATGCTAATTGATAATGGGAGTTTATCAGTAGTTTGAATGAGCAGTGTCACCAAAGTAAACAGTCAAACCCATAGGGTACAAATGTCACCAGATCACAAACCCTATTGCTATTGATGTATTACTAATCCCATCAGGCTACTTGCTAGCCCTAAAGTTAATGATTAAGGCCCAAATAATTTTTTTATTTTTGTTGGATTTTTAAAATCAACATCTTAAATGAAGGAAAAAAAGAACTGTTAAAGCCACTGTCTGTTTTTTGCCTTTTCTGAAAGTTAAATTCATACATACATTTTTGCAAAGTTTAACTGGGAACACATACATACATACACATATCCTTCCAATCCTCAGCAAGCAATGAAGAAATAAACATAGTGAGCAAACCCTATTTTCAGCCTTTTTGGAGTAAAATGAAAGCTAATAAAAAATTAAAACACCTGTGTGCAAAATATTTAACTACAGTCTGCAACTGAGCAGAGGCATGCCTTTCCAATGACTGCAGACATGTGCAAAGCACTTTCTCAAGAGGAGGTATGTTGTGTGTCTGGGCATGTCCAGCACAAGTACTCTGGGTGTGTGCAAAGTATGTCTTACAAGAGGAGATTGTTATGTGTCTGGGCATGCACAGAGCATACTCTACAAGACTAAACACCGTCACTTAATAAAGGGGACATTAGGCAGGCAGCCTGGAAGCAGATTTGTTTGATGTAAAATTGACCCTTGAGCCTCCAAAATGAAAAGCTAGGAGAAGAAAGACTCTGCACTCCTGAACTGTAAGGGCTTTTTGAGAATGTGTGGGATGGAGTTATACGGCCTTTTCACTTTAGCTTCTGCAGTACAGCAAATGGTAAGTATAAAGATTAAGAAAAAGAGTACTTCAGGTTAGTTCTGAACCCAATACTATAATTTTATTTTGTATTATTTTTAGAAATTAAGATCTCAAGATCTTAGCATGACATAGATTCTGAAAGTCTATATCACAAACATCTCTTGTTCTCTAATGGGTTGTCTACATGGCCAAGAAAACAAACTTATGGCTGCACTAAAATAGAGCTCATAAAATGCTTTTGTTGTAGACTTTCCAAACCTGAGGCTCTTTGGATCATCATAAATATTTCCAGAAAGCTGGATAAATTACATTTCACGCAGGATACTTTTGTTGAAATGGCAACCTTCATATATTGCATTGAGGAGGACACTAATCCCCTTTTAGTAATTTTAGATATTGGGGCTGAATTGCCTGTTGGTCTGAAAAGTCAAACTTGCTCCCGTCAACTACAATATGTTGGCATTCTCCCATTGAATTTTATAATAAAATATATTTACATACAAAGCAAAATATGTTTTCTTTCTTTTGCTAATCCTGTTTAACAATGTCAGACTATTAAACAGTAAATACAATTTAATCAAAGCAAAGTATCCAAATCAGGCTTCTTGATCTGATGGGTTTTCCAAAGGTGTTAAGAATTTAGGTCTGATGCAGTTAGTTTGTGACATTAACTTGAGGTATAATGGCAGGAGCATATGTGACTGTTGCAGTACAGGTAGTCCTTGACTTATGATCACAATAGGGACCAGAAAATTCATTGTTAAGTGGTGCGATTGTTAAGTGAGGCATCACATGACCACACCTGATTTTACAACATTTTTGCAGCGGTCATTAAGTGAATCACTGTGGTGGTTAAGTGAATCACAAGGTTCCCCATTGATTTTGCTTGTTGGAAGCCAGCTGGGAAGGTTGCAAGTGGCGATCACATGACCCTGGGACACTGCAACTGTTGTAAATTCAGGTTGCCAAGTGCCTAAATTATGATCATGTGACTGTGGGGATGCTACAATGGTTGTAAGTGTGAGAACTGGTTGTAAGTCACTTTTTTCAGCTCCATCGTAACTTCGAGCAGTTGCTAATTGAATGGTCATAAGTCAAGGACTACCTCTATGAGATTTTTTTGTCTTATCTAGCAAATTGTACTATTTCATAGCTAAGAAGACTTTTTTTGAGAATGGACACAACTAAGTGGATATTACTACTTTTTTTGAGAAGTAGCCTTGTTAGAGGCAAAATAATATTTGCGAACTTTCCCTTTTTTCTTTAAAAAATGAAATATCGGGCTCACAATGTCAGGCTATGAATTATCAATTTTCACATAAATATTGATAGAATTTCAGATTCCTTTCAAGCATTCCTGCAGCAATATATCGGGCTCACAATGTCAGGCTATGAATTATCAATTTTCACATAAATATTGATAGAATTTCAGATTCCTTTCAAGCATTCCTGCAGCAATATATCGGGCTCACAATGTCAGGCTATGAATTATCAATTTTCACATAAATATTGATAGAATTTCAGATTCCTTTCAAGCATTCCTGCAGCAATTCTGACCTCTGTTGTGTCACTTTCCTCTTTAGATTGCTTGGGTGATCAAATCTTTGTAGCAGAGTATGATCTCAGTCACCAGTGGGTGGACTGGTGCCTGACTTGGCTCTTTTGAGTGGCCAGGGTGTGCATCTGATTACCTGGATTTGAGAAGGAAGTTTCTGGCTTTGAAAGAGGTGGTAGTGGACCCTCTCTTGAAGAGGCCATCTCTTGATTCAGCAATACTGGACAATTTTCACCAAATTTCCAACCATCCCTTTTAGAGAAAGTTGTTGATATGAACCACACCTGAATGGCCAGTTCTAGTTGGTAGTCATGAGGGAAGAGTGTTAAGTCCATGGTTGTTCCAATGCAGATTACCACAGTGCCTGGTCTTCTCCCCAATCTTATTTAAGGTCTATATGAAACTGTGGGAGAGGTTATCAATTGGTTTGGGGTAAAGTATCATTGGTATGCTAATGATACTGAGCTCTACATCACCACCTTTGGCCAGGCCAGGGATGCTGTGAAGTAGGTGTCAGGGACTGGATGGCGAGAAACAAGTTCTAAACCCTAGTAAGACAGAGCTGTTGTTCATCCATAAACATCTTGGCTTTCCTGAAACATTGGTTCCAGCTGTGACTCTGGATAAGGCCCACCTGGACTTGTGCCTAGGGTGGTCTTTTCCCAACTTCAGCTGATATGCCAGTTATGGCCTTACCTGGACCCAAAAATAATAGTGATTCATGTTCTTATTATAATGATATTGGACTACTGCAACATCTTCTACTTTGAAGATAATGTAGAAGGACTGCTGATACAGAATGCAGGAACCCAGGCTGCTGTGGGTAGATCCCGCCATTGCAAAATAATATTTATTTTATGGTTGATGCACTGATTGGTAGTAGGCATTTGGGCCCAGTTCAGAATGCTGGCTATTACTTATGAAGCCCCACAGGACAAAGCACTAGGTTACCTTAACAACTATCTTGTCCAAAATGATTTTGCCCATCCTGGCCAATAATTGAGAGTGCTCTGCTTAGGATCCTGCCCCTCGTGTAAGATGAGCTGGGCATGGGCCAGAAGATAGGTCTTCTGGGTAGAGGCCCTGATTTTGTGGAATATGGTGGCCCTGGAAGTACACTTAGCTGTCTTGTTCCTGGCATTTAGGAGGCTTCTTAAAACCTTCCTTTTTAAATAGGCCTTTGAGGATGTTGATAAGTGGAAGGAGGGTGGCCATCTTATTTTTTATTATTTTATTATGATTATTGTTTGTACTTTGAGATGGTTCAGCTTACATTCTCTGTATAGTACCCACAGTCATTATTTTGTTAATAAATGAACAACTCCTGAACTAGTGTGTTTGTGTGAGAGTACACATATGCATACATAGATACACTTTTACATAGTACAAATTAACTGGCTACTAATGCAAGTTATGCCTTTTTCTAGGCATTTTAAATCTTTCTCAAATGTGTTTGAGATTAATATCTCAAGACTGGCTGACTAAAGATCATAAATCCCACAAATACCCCTCCAAATCAGGGAAAATCAACTTTATTCTGCATGAAAGGACAAGATAAGTGTATTCTTTTTATCTTATTCCTATATTGTAAGGATATCAGCGTACACAATGATAGACCATATTAAATGGCTCATACATATATTAAAAATGTATTTCAATACATACACTATCAAGCCTAGACAGATTCATTCTCCTCTAGCTTAAGAGAACTGATCAGCTATTTCACTGATTCGCTAATTCACTGATTGAGCATCAGTCTTTATATAGTTAAATGGAATTGTTTATTAGGTTACATATCTTTAATTAGTCACTGCTAAATTAAAAGGTTGGTGCATACATGAAATTCTTGTACTCAAACAACAAAAGCAAAGTACAGTCACATGTCTGGATTTTAACACATTTCCCTGGAATTGGAGGTCTTGGAGGATGGGGACTTCTTGCTTGTCTCGGGGTCACCTTCTCTCGGATGACACTGTTATAAGAAAAATGATGAATTTGAATATCCCATTCACCATATTTTCATATTGCTACAAACATAGAATTCTGTTACTCAAGTAGAAAATATGCTATAATAGAACTGTGTGGGCATTTTGACTTTTAGTATTGTTATTAGAAGAGGTCTAGATCCCTGATTGTTTTGTTCACCTTTACTTCTCTGCAGTTTGTTTCACTTGTACAATCTCTACATTCATTCACACTGAAAGAATTTTCCATTATCTCTAGCCTCCTTTGTTCTGATCAGTCCAAATATTGCCAGTGTTTCTACATTTCTCTTATATCCAATAATATTATGAACATTGAAAGTTTAGCAAAATATGATCTTCCTTTGAATGTGCTCCTCAATTAAAAGGTTGATTCCAAGGCATTGAAGTAAAATTATAAAATCAATAGTCCGTGGTCAAACTCTATAGAGACCCTGTGGAACAAATGTCAACTATAGTTAGCAATGCAGTCTGATACAATTACAAGTCAGCTTTGTCTGAAAACTGACAGTAATGAAATCTGTGTTTTCTTGGGCAGCCGATGCAGTTCTCATTCTTGCAGATAACCAGGTAAGTGGCAGTATCAGCAGTCTGCATTTTTTTAAAGCCAGTTTGTTTATCTGAGTCAAAAATCTGAGGACAAATATTGACTAGTCAAAAAGTTGACTAAACATTTTATTGTCAGGAAATAAAACATTGGAAACAATTTAACTTAAGAATCATTGCAACATCATGAGATACAGTATAGGATACATTTGAATCAAAACACATTTCTTGTACATCTAAAAACTTTGGCTGCTATCGATTGACTTTATACTGTATGTCTAGGTGTGTAGAGAATGGAGCAAAATAAAACGTACAGCTCCATACAAATTTAGTATGCATTAAATTTGCTGCAACATTCCTGCTGTCAGAATGGTGTCACGGATAAATCTGGGATATAATGAAATAAATTGGAGGTGGTAGTGCTGATTCATCTGATTTGGTCATATTGATTTATCTCACTGAGTCTACTTCAGTCTACTTTACTTTTCTACTTCATATATCAAAAATGTGCAGGTTTGTCCATGGGATAGAGTCTTTGGGAACATGCAGATATAAAATAACAATGTTTTAAAATATAACTTTGCTTAATTTCTTTATCACTCATGACCTATTATGGATTATTATGTGTTTGAGTTCTTTTATCTGTTTGGCATAAAGGTCATTTTACATCAATGAATTGGATCAGTAGCACTTGTCTGGCAACTATGTTTCCCTAGTTGATTCATTCTTAGATCTCTGCATGCATACAAGTAAAACTTCCCTAACAAAATGTGATCTCTTCAATACCACCAGTTTTGCAGAATGCTGTTTATTTGGCCCTTATGCTATTCTTTCATTCTCCACTCAGAACATGTTTCAAGCTCTGAAAGAGGAGAGAAATTCATTATTTATTGGTGTCTTTATTAATTTAAGTGGATAAATACTAAATTTCCCTCAAGGAGGAGCGGGGCAGTGCATTAGAGGAATTTGAGTTAGTTTGGGTGGCTGGAGAAAATCAGAGTCCACTGCCGTTTCATGTAAGAAGAACATGCTGCTTGTGTTAGTCCCACTGGTTTTCAAAATAGTTTTTTTATTATTATTTTTTAGGAACACTTGATGATGATGATATGCCCCATGGGTTTTGTATAGTCACATATTCTTCCACAGACAGATTTGAAGGGAACTTTGTGCATGGAGAAAAGAATGGTCATGGAAAGTTCTTCTTCTTTGATGGAAGGTAGACATTACTGTGTCCATGGTTTCTTTCACTGGATTCAGAATTCATATTTAGCCATAGTGTATTTAGCCACAGTTTATTTGATATAGCAAAATTAGTGGGTATACATAACATACTAAACTAGTAGCCATGATTTACAAGCCACAGTGATTGGGATCGTTCAACATGCTAAACTATAAATTAAAAAAATCAACAGTATGGTTTAGTATGTTATATGAACTAGGCTGGCTATTTATTTGCTGGTTTTACTGGTTTTTTAAAATACAATAAAGTAAAATGACAAGTTACAAGCTCCATTGGCCTTATACCCTTATTTACCATTCTTTTAAAGATTAATGTTTTTATAGAATAGTAGGATAATTTATAATGATGGGACAATCATTGATGCAGTAAAGTAACAAATTATTTGTACTGTAGAACATATGATTGCATTCTTTGCAAAAAAGAAGGCACTGCATTCTTTGACTACTGTTCTATATATTGCTATATGGAACAAAATTAATTATTAAGTTCTTAGCAAAAGTGGGCAAGTTATAAATAGTAGACATGTTCTTAGTCTTCTCTAAGTTTTCTAGTTCATGAACTTTGCTATGAAGTCATTTCAATGCCTTGATAGTATATTTATGATTTGAAGCCACAAATGTTATAATCACTTTAAGCTCATTGACCCAAAGTGCTGAAACTGATAAGTGGAACTAGGACTCAGTTACCCTTTTGCCACATCTTTGCAATAGCTGTCCCATTCCTTTAATAGAAAAGAGCAATAGTAGATCATAAGGTTGGAACATATAAGAAATATTACAAAATATAGCCCATCACACAGAGTTATCAGAAAAACAAGACAGATTTTTAAAAACACTCTTTAGATAAACTAAAATGGTGATTTATTAATAAAAAACAAATCAGTCACAGTAAAATCTCGGACATGAATAGCCTGTCAGATAGGACATGTTTTCAATTTATACTGAAAGAAAGCCGAAGAAGAAAGAAGAAACCTCTGCAGGACTCCTATTGCAGAACCATGGTGCAAGCACTAAGTAGTCCATTCTTCCTGAGTTCACTCAGTTTGTTGCCCACCTGAAGTGAAACAGCAAGGTCTTTGAAACAGGTGCTAGAACATATGTTTGGAAGGAGCCCATATTTACTGTATATACTCAGATCCTAAACAAATTAGGAAGGCTTAAGATTTTTTTCTGTAAATTAGGTAAAATAACAGTCATTTTTGCACTATTCTTTTTTCTTTGCCAGCACGCTAGAAGGCTTTTATGTTGATGATGGTCTGCAAGGCCAGGGAATATACACCTATGAGGATGGAGGGGCACTTCATGGCACTTACATTGATGGTGAACTGAATGGGCCAGCCCAAGAATATGATGCTGACGGGCGATTGATATTCAAAGGGCAATACAAAGATAATATTCGGCATGGATTTTGTTGGATTTACTATCCGGTAAGTTGGATTACTTTCTCAGATATTTCAATATGTAATGCTAATTGTTATACTGTGGAGTCTGCAGGGGGTCAAGGGAGGGCATCACATCAACACAGTGCAGGTTCTACCTCTTTTGTACATATGTGTGACAAAATGCATTACAAAAGGGGCAGAACTTGACACACAACACAATGCTGCTTTCATTATTTTGTAACTTCTTCACAGCTAAATGGAGATACTGTAGCTTGTTACAATTTGGATGCAAATTATTCATTTATAGTATTTTATTTGTTTATTTTATTTTGTTTATTTTATTTTATTACAGTTGTGTATTGCCAAATCTAGAGTGACTCATGGAAGTTTACAACAAGAATAATATGCATAACATAAAGTATACAAGTATAATACAAGTATACAACTAAAACAAGAAAAAGTATCAAAGAATAAAATAAGAAAAATAAAGATCAGTACAGTTGATCATAGCAATACCAAGTTCAAATGCCCAGCAGAAATGTTCCATCTTAAGAGCCTAATAGAGTGACTTCAGAGATATGTTGCAAGCAACACAACATAGACAGTGTTTCCTGCTATGTATCAATTTTGCGTGTGTAAACAAAATGCACAGACTATCTTGTATGGCTTGGATAGGGGTTTTAATAAATACTTTTGAGATAATCTTTACCAACTTTGATTTAGAATAATTATAGCAGAATTGCTCTTGGGTTCATAAATGAATAGCTCTATTCAGGATTTTTCAAGCTAGTGACACGTTGCCTTGATAAATACTGAACTGGTTCTGTAGTGACTGTCCTTCCTGTATACATCCCTCCATTGGTAACAAAATGTTCTCAGTTATGAAACTTGAAGAACAAAGCATGCGACTAGATTCCTGTATTTTTTCCGGTCTTCCCTCAAAACAGGTTTCAAGGCATGTTAAGCTATGGAAGAAGACTGAATAATACCCTTTGCACTCAGTTCTGAATAGTCCTTAGGAAAGTAAGAAAAAAATAAATCTTGCTTTGCAGCCATAACTAGGGATGCAAAGAATCATATTAGTGAAGTATTTTAGATGCAACATTCCTCACCATGACACCCTATATATGCACTGGGACTATAGTTCCTAGATTTATTTGTTAACATGGAAGTAGCATTTGCATCACATCTGAAGATTACCTAATTGGAAAAAGCTGAAGGAACATTTGGCAAAATTAATGAACTCAAATACAGCATAATCCTTTCTCAAAGTGATGCTAGCTGAGAAGCACCGTATGAAGCATGTAACACTTCTGCCCACAGAAAGAACTTTCTGTCATCTGAAAGTTGACAGAACTATATTTTAATCATTGTTTTATTTAAACATTTTAAAATTACGAGTTGTCCTGGGAAAACTCTCTTTTGAAAACCAAATGAACCCACCAGCTGAACTGTTCTGTTGGTTAAGATATACTGAGCTGAAAATAAGATAGGGAAAAACTGGGAGAAGGGAGAAGCTGAGTTCCATTGCATCCAAATGAGAATAATGCCAATATAGGCTAGTCATAGAGTTAGATCTGTTCTAACTGACAACAAATGAAATCCAATGAGAGCAAAATATAGTCCTTTGCATCCTGATCCACCCTTTCAGTCATAATCAGCCTGAAGTTTGGATATAGCAGAGTTTCAAAACTCAGTGTTGGCTTCTGTCGAATCAGTTAGGACTGAGCTGTTAGGTTTGGAAGCTGAACACAATAAAAATTGATTATTTTTTATCTTTTATGCATGTAATGATCTTGTAAATGGAACCTGTCACTCAAATACTTTTCAATTAGAGCTAGACTGTTTGAGAATCCCTTATGATAGGGCTTTCTTTTTCCATAGATATCCTCTTAACAGGGTCAGCATTTTATATTAATAGGACTGAAATGGTGAGTGGGGAGATGCAAAAAACAAATTGAGGTAGCAGGAAATGAAAGAATAAAGTTCTGACTGACACCTGTTAAGCCAAAATATCCAGATCAGGGTTTTTCACACTTTGTTTCATGGAACTCTAAGGTTCCATGAGAGATTAAGGACAATTTTTTTTAAAAGAAAAAAGTTCACTCAAACAAAGTCAATTGTCTATCCCTAGAGCTCTGCCTCTTGATCAGAGTACTGGGAATTTAATTTAATTTTTTAACAGTGACCATGGGTTGAAAAAATTTCAAAACCCTTGATCTCAATATTGAGATTAAGATGTTGGTTAATAATAATCATTATTAAATTAAAAGACAAGAGAGCACACAATATTTTCCCTTAAAATATATCTACAATTTTTGGAAACACTGTTATTGCTTCTTTTTCAGGATGGTGGGTATCTGGTTGGAGACGTTAATGAAGAAGGAGAGATGACTGGAGAGAAATTAGCCTATGTATACCCTGATGGGAAGGTGGCATATTATGGGCACTTCATAGATGGTGAAATGATAGAAGCAAAATTGGCTAATGTTATACGGGCAGAGGAAGAAAAGCTACAATTTGATATACTGCCAGGCAGTAAGTTTGATGTACAGTGTTACATCTCACAATATGTAAATGTCTGTGTCCTCTTAAAGATTTGACTACTTTATTAAAGTATTGCATTTATATGCTGCCTTTAGGGCAAAATTCTTCCAGTAGCTAGTTTTTTAGTGTTTTACTAAGTAATGTAGTGATGTGAACCTATATTTTACATTAGTAATTAGGTTGGGTTCCTGTGTTTTGTTTGTGGATCCCCATTTACAAAAGCCAAATATAGAAAGGAAAGAAGGGACTCTCAGAACCATATATAAGCTAGTGTTCATTAGTGTTTCTTTTTCCAGGCAAGCTAATTATTGTAATCTTCACAAGGACAGTTTACAAAATAAATACAAATGTTAGAGTCCATACTTTCATTTACAGACCAAGAAATACAGCAGTATTTCTCAACCCTTCTTGAATTTTGGTTACTCTTCTAAACTTCGTCTGTTTTCTGTGATCTACCAAACGCTCTGTTAACCTCCTATCTTACAGCCTGTTGCTTTTGAATTCCAGGTTATAAATTCCCTTACTCCAGTTCTGTGTATCTACTGCATAGTAACTGGAAGGAACTGAGAAAAGAATAACAGAAAAGAAAAGAAAAAAAATCCTGTGCTTTTGGGGGGCAGGTAGA